GTATCTAGAATGATTAATCCTTTCCGGAAGTTTTCAATTTACTTTGTCCATATCATCATAAAATCACTATCTATGGAAGTTATAGTCTTATTAAATACATTTCTTCAATAATAAGGCATAAAAGCTGAAATTACTCCTTGATCCGTGGGCTGCAGAATGGATGTTGTGTTAGCAGCCATGAAAACAACATCTCCACCAGAAATCTTGGGTGACTACGTGCATTGTCAATAAGCAGGAATATTTTGAAAGGAATCTCTATTTTTTTTTTTTCTGAGTAGTAGGTCTCAATAGAAAGCTTAAAATATTTAGTAAACCCTGTTGTAAACAGATGTGCTGTCATTCAGGCTTTGTTTTTCCATTTATAGGGCACAGGCAGAGTAGATGTAGTATAATTTTTAAGGGCTCTAGGACTTTCAAAATTGGCTGCCACTTAAAGTCACCAGCTGCAATATCTGGTGACTAACAAGGAAGTTGACCTGTCAGTTTCCCCTACATTGATAATCTCTTATTTAGGATAGCCACCTTCATCAGTTATCTTAACTAGATCCTCTATATAGCTTACTGCAGCTTCTACATGAGCACTTGCTACTTTATCTTGCATTTTTATGTTATGGAGATGGCTTCTTCCCTCATACCTCATGAACCAACCTTTGCTACCTTCACATTTTTCTTCTGCAGCTTCCTCACCTCTCTCAGCCTTCATAAAATTGAATAGAGTTAGGACCTTGCTCTGGATTGGATTTTGGTTTAAGAGAACATTGTGGACACTTTGATTTTCTATCCAGATTGCTAAAACTTTCTCCATATCAGCGATAAATCTGTTTTGCTTTCTTCTCATTGTGTGTTCATTGGAGTAGCATTTTTCATATCTTTCAAGGATTTTTTCCTTTACATTCACAACTTGGCTAATTGGTGCAAGAGACCTAGATTTTGGCCTATCTTGGTTTTTGACATGCCTCCTTCACTGAGCTTAATCAGTTTTAGATTTTTATTTAAAGTGAGAGATGTGTCACTCTTCCTTTCACTTGAACTCTTAGAGGCCATTGTAGTGTAATTAATTGGCCTAATTTCAATATCGTTGTGTATCAGGGACTAGGGAGGCCTGAGGAGAGGGAGGGATGGAGGAACAGCAGGTCAGTGGAGCAGTCAGAACACATGCAACATTTACTAAGTTTCTTGTCTATTTGGGCACACTTCGTGGTGCCCCAAAATAACTACAATAGAAACACTAGAGATCACTGATCACAGATCATCATAACAGATATAATAATGAAAAAGTTTGAAATATTGAAATAATTGCCAAAATGTGACACAGCGACGTGAAGTGAGCACATATTTTTGAGAAAATAGCGCTGTTAGACTTATTTGACAGAGGGTGGCCACAAACCTTCAATTTGTAAAAAATGTAATTTATATGCAAAACACAATAAAACACGACATGCTTGTATAGGATAGCATAAACGTGTTTTAATAACACTGAGTTTTATTTTCAAATAAAGTCCCAAGCAAACCTTTCTTCACTTACTGGTCTGAAATTTGGTCCCTGTGTTGAGTAGATTTACTTTGAGAAGCCTTTACCTGTGCTAATCACACTGGGATAATAAGAACTTCCTGTACTAATGAAGCAGAACTTTTCTGGTGGTAACAATCGGATGCCTTGATTGTGTTTATTTACATATTAAATTTTTACTATTAATATTTTATTCTTATTAATATCTTTATTCATTTGTATGTTGGGGGGGTTAAGTTATTATTTACTCTTGGTGTTTTCAGTAGGATTACTTCCAAAGTGTAATATTATTAGAAGTAAGGTCATTGTCTCCCGGGCAATGCTTGTAGGGAAGACACATTTTAGAGTCAGCTTTAAGGCAGACCTATATTTGAGTCTGCTTTTACCACTTAATAGACAAATGATAAAGAGCAAATTAGGTGCTTTCTCTGAAATTCAGTATCTTCACCTGTAAAAATGGAGCTCTAAGCTCCCTCACAGGATTGCAGTGAAGATCAGATGTAAATATGTGTAAAATGCCAGGTATGAAGAAGGTATTCAATAAGTGGTAGTTACAACAATGCTGTTTGTTTTCAGTTTGCTGAACTGCCAAAGTTCCCTTGTGATCTTAATTTGATGATTTTGTACATTTGATTACTTTGCATGTGTTTTACAATGTGAACCTAGGGTCTCTAGGCTATAAAAAGTAGCTAAATATGACTTATATTGAAAATATACCTTTTGGAACATCTTGTTGCATAAATCTCTTAGAATGAATCTAAAATATTCTACAAAGCTTTGAAAAAAGATCATGAGATTTGCAAGATTTACTTTGTAAAATTTAGGTTGAATTATTTGGTAGTTGGATGGCTGCATAAATCTCTTAGAATGAATCTACAAAGCTTGGAAAAAAGACCATGAGATTTATAAGATTTATTTTGTAAAATTTAGGTTGAATTATTTGTAAGTTGGACAGCTGATAGTTAAATGGGGAAAGTCTCAATGGAGGTACCTTTAGCCCTACTCAAGTAATTTTTATAAACACATCTTGACTAAAACCCAAGAAACTCAAGTCTTTTACCATGCAGAGCCAGTGGGAGAGTAGTTTTGTGAGTCAGATACTCTTGGATTTGAACTCCTGCTTGGCCACTTTCTGGCTGTGTGACTTTAACCAATTTCCTTAATATTTCTAAGCCTGGATATCTTCATCCATAAAGTTGGGGATAATAAAAGTATCTACCTTGGGGTTGTCCTTAGGATTAAATGAGACATTGCATATAAAATGTTTATATGTACATAAAGTACATTGTAAACACTTAATAAATAACTATTACTTATAAAATCTTCAAACTCAAAAGTTAACATGTATGTCATTTTGTTCAAAAGTGGTTATAGGGTAACACAAAAGCAAAAAGTAAAGTTCACTTGAATTTCAAACACCAACTTGTACGGTTTGGTCTTGCCTTGCTTTTTGCCTCTAGTTTCCTATATTTAAGTTCCTTTCCTTCCCCCCTTACTCATGAACATGTTTTCTGTCCTAGTATTTCTCAATGGCTCCTGTGAATCACCCCCACTCAAGGGGTTTCTACCACCACTCCATCTCCAAGATTCTAGTAGATTCCCTTATTGGCCCCATTAGTTCACATATCAGTTTACTTAGCTAAAGTCTGGAGAAAAATGATAGCTAACATTTAGTATTTGGCTAATAGTGCCTGATACTATGCCAGGTGAGTTAAAATCATTATTTTGACTCTTCTTAACAACTAGACAAGTTAGATACCACTATTCCTGTTTCTGAGATATGTAGGCAGAGGCTCTGACCCAGTAATTTGCTCAAAGTCATGCAGCTAGTTAAGTGGCTGCATCCTTGCACATTTCATGTATCTACATTTAGGAAACGCATCAATTATACAGTGAAAGCCATGAATCTGATCAACAGAATTCCAGACACTAACAAATAAATAAACCAGACTTTTCTCAATTCCAGTAATTCGCGTTTAATTTACCCCAGCAAATACTGAATTTCAAGCTGTGCTTGTTTTATAAAACAGAATCTTTCAAACACTGTGATATCAAGTCCCACATAGTCAAAGGGAGGGAAAGGCGAGGAGGACGATTAAGATGGATGTGTTTCTTCCATTACTGGTAGGACGAAGTTTTTCGTGTCTGACTAAGTACCGGATTTTGCAATCATTCCAAAAGTAGAAGCTCAGCCCACAGTGCATTTTGGGGAAGCCTGACCACACTAACCATTTAAGGTCAAGCAAACAATTGGCCAAGCAAACAATGTGCGTTGTGTGGCCTTTTCATCTCAGAGATAACGGACCTCTACCTACTATCTCTATAACCCAGCTCCAGAAAACAATCGGGTTCCTCCTCTCTCATAGCCCTGCACAGAAGCCCCGCTGGAAGCCACATGGTGAGACCCACGTACAGGCCCCCTGGCAAGCAGCCGGCTCCAGCCTGCACCCCACGTCTACTTGGGTGCCCTCCATTCTCTTTAACACACTTTGGAGCGCTGAGCCCAGCGAAAAACGACCCCAGCCGGGCGCCTGACCCCAGCCCGGCCCGTGCCCGGGCGGCGGGAACGCGCGGGGGCGGCGCCGGCGGGCGGGGCCTGGCGCGGCGCGGGGCGGGCGCGGGCCGCTCTCCGCGCGCCGTTCCCCTTTGTTCTCTCCCATTGTGTGGCACTTCCTCCTCTGCAGCTTCCTCTCTGCGCCCTGGCAGCCCGTGGGGAATTCGTGAAGGGGCTTTTGGTGCCTTTTGGTTGCTGTTCTGTTCACTCTTTGTGCGTGAGGACCTTTGCCTCGCTCCTCGCGTTCCCGCCCCTGTGCGGGCGGGGGCGGAGTGGAAAGTGTCATTCCCGGCCTGCCCCCGCCGGCGGCGTCTCCGCGGCTCTCCCGCGCGGTTCCTCCTGCAGGAGGCATCCTAACCCCGCACCCCGGACTGTCGCCTCCTGACCGGCCGCGTCCACGCCACCGCGGCGGCACGCCACCCCCTCCCCTCCGACGGGCGCGGATTCCGGACGCGCGGGGCTCCGCCGGGCACCGAGGGGAGGGTCGGAGGCCAGCGCGCAGCCCGAGCCCTGCCGCCCCGGCGTCCCGGGAGCCGGCGCGAGTGTCGCCGCGGCCCTCCCCGTCCCTCGCGCTCGCTCTCGCGCTCCCCAGCCGCCGCGCGGCCGCCTCAGCCCCCTTATATAGCCCTCTAAAAATAGCTCGCCTCGCACCGCCTTGTAAGGCAGCAGGGAGATCCGCCGCGCGCCAATCCGCGCCCGCCGCCAGGGCCAGGCCCCGCCCCGGGCCCCGCTCCGCGCTCGCCATTGGTCCTCAGTGACTTCATGAGCCCCCTGTTTACCTTACATGGTCACACGCGGCCTAATGGACGCCCTCCTCCGAGATCCCACGGCTGCGCGGAGAGCCGGGCGGGGGGAGGGCGTTCGGGGAGGGGGAAGAGTAGGAGGAGGAGAAAAGGGGGGGGAACTACAAACTAGCATGGATGGGGTGGGGGGTGGGGAGGGAAGAGAAGGGGGGAGAGAGAAGCGATCGCGAGAAAAAAAAAATGCAACCTCCCAAAATAAAGAGCAAAGATTGCATTAGGAGCGAACAGCGCTGCAGAAATAGATGGCAGCTTCGTGTCAGTGAGTTTGCATCCCCCTTCCTGATCCACGAGCTGGAGTGATTAGAGCCCTGGAAGGGAATTGTTACTCCCGTGGAGAAGTCCCCTTTTCCTGGCAGTCGTCTGCACTGTACACGCTGGATGCCTCTCTCCATCCACCCCACTCACGCTCTCCTCTCTCACCTCCTCTCTCCCTCTCCTGCATTGATTTTTTTTTTCCTTTTTAGTTGACTGAAACAAAACAAAACAAAAGGGCCACTGGATGTCTGCCTTCTTGGGGGGTGAGCCAGACAGACTGACAAACAAACAGACCCAACTGTGCTCGGGGGAGGGTTTCGCCTCCCGTTTTGCCCGGCAGCAGCAGCATGGACGTGTTGGCTAGTTATAGTATATTCCAGGAGCTACAACTTGTCCACGACACCGGCTACTTCTCAGCTTTGCCATCCCTGGAGGAGACCTGGCAGCAGGTGAATGATTTAAATTACTTGTGTAAATCGTGTGGTGGCGGCGGAGACGCAGGGGCTGCGTTGGTGTGGGCTTTGGGTTGAATTTTTGTTTGTTTGTTTGATTTTAACCCCCCTTTTTGGCTGTATGTTTTTTAAAATGTTTTCTGAAACAGTCATATGCGCTTACCTCTCCACCCACCCCTAACCTCTTAGTGTGCCGAGCTGAGCAGCCGGTCCAAGCTGCCTGCGTTCCAGTCACCAACACACATCCTTGCGCACACGTTGTCGGGCTCCCTGTCCCCGTCAGAGACCTGCCGAACTTCTGGGGTTCGGAGGAGCCGGGTGGGAAGGTGGCTTGGGGCTTTAAGAGCGATCGCTGACAGCATACCTACCTGCATGAGCCCTACCTGCTTGGTACCTTAAATCAGGTTCATCTATTTCAACTGGTGCTTACGACCGACCGTCAGATGGAGGGGGGGTGGGGGCAGGAGCAAAGCGGAGTGTTTTCTCAGTAATTAGCGAATGTCAATGGAGAATAGGAGCTTGATTTTGAGATTAGAAGGCAGGCAAAAGAAAGAAGAGCCCAGTGACAAAAGATACTCCAGTAGGACAGGAAGATGTATCTGTCTTAGGCTGACAATGCATTGTAGGTTTCCCCAGTGTAATGCCTCCAGAAAGAAAACACCCTCTGTGTGTGTCCTTGTTTCTCTTTTTTGTTTGAGGTCCCTCTCCAGTTAGACAGTACAACCTCGGACAAAGGGTGGTGTGTGCTTCCCTGCCTCTGACTTTGTTTTAGAGGACTAGTTAAGAAACTCCTGGGATGCCGAAGGGCACGGATGTCAAGTTGGCTAGGCGTCCCAGCAAGGGTGAAGCCCGGCTGGTGACAAGTTCGCTGGGCTTTGTGAAGTGGAATAAAGAAAGTGCTGGTCAGTGGAAAGTGCTGGGTCTGCTGCGGAAACAGTGGGGGTTTTTTCCCAGCAGCGATTAGGAGCTGCTGAGGGGACATTCTGCGGGAAAGATGGTGGGTGGGGGCGGGGGGGGGGACACGGGTATTTAAAAATTCTACAGTGTGCACCATGGAAAGTCCAAGAAGACAGTCCGGATTTGCACATAGGAAGTGTGAACTTGTACAGTCGGTCCTGGAGAAACCCGCTTGCCCGTGGGGAGGGCTGTGAGAGGCTCTGTGTGTGGCTGCTCATGGAACTTCTCCGCTCAGTGACAGGAGCTTGTTAAGGCTAATGAACGGCTGAATTTCCTCTGCCCGGGATCCAAAGCAGGATTTGCCAGCTTGAGGCTGAGATGTAACAGTTGCTGCTCTAGCAAGAGGGGTTTGGCTTTTAATATAAGGAGCCCAGTGGCAAAGCCGATCCTCTGCCTGGACCATTGTTACTAGTTGTTCTCCCCTGATCAGAGGCTGTGAGTTTCCCTGCAGGTACTGGCCTTTGGTGTCTGTGTGTCCATGCATGCATTCCTGTCCAAAGATGCTGGCAGATACTTGTGACTCTGTAAACACACAATTCACACATTTTTAGCATAAGGCATTGCTTCAATGCATCCTTACCCAGTCTTTAACAGACTGTCTCATGCAGGGTCTCACTAGATCTTTTTCCTTCTTTTATTTCACATGTTCACATGCTAATTAAACCAAATGTTGCCAGAATTTCATTTTCTGAAATAGCTTTCATTTCACACTGTCAGCCCACTGGTGTAGAATCGGTTGCATATTAACAACTGTCTAGACAGGTTAGGGATGGGAATCTGTTGATTTAGTCAGCCTGCCCAAGGCAGCCCTTGTTTGTGACTAACTGTTAAGCAGTGTTGGAGGGAAGAAAGTTGGCTTTATTTGTTACAACGTTCTCTCCTGATGAATCACACAACTTTGTTTTGGTTCAAGTTTTCAGAGTAGTAAAGCCTGATTTTGGGGAAGGCCTCTCCAGGGAAACTCTTGCTTTCTAGATCTGGCTAAACCATCCAGGAGAAACTCTAGATCTGCAAAGGAACATCATTGGTTTGACAATTAGAGGAGATTTTAGATCTATTGTTTCCTAAGAAGCCATCTCTGCTCTTCCTTCTCCCCTCCTCCTCCTCCACGTCCATCTCTTTCCCCCTTCAAGGAACTCTAGCTTAGTTTCTATCTGCAGGCAAAGGAATTTTCAGAATCCCCCCATTTCTTGCCTAGCCCTCTCCAACTGCAGCCACCCTCACCTTAAAACCTCTCACCAAGTTATTTCAGAGGCATGCTCATACTGAAACACAACTTGTGGAGAAGCACTTATAAACAAGATATCACTCTAAGGAGCTTTATGCTCTGGACTTTATAGTCATAACTGCTTTTCATAAAGGTGACTAAGACCCTGCGTTTACACTGATGACAAAACCTCTAACCTCTATCCCCTCTCTCCTCCCCATCCCTGAACCCCTTGCTGTTTCGGAGCATAAGGGATGGTGATGGTTATATGCAACTGTTAGTTCCAAATCAACCCTCAGATGATGAAATTTTGAGACTTCCTTGCTTAAAAACAGCTCAAGAAGGTGCTACAAAAGAACCCCAGGCAGGAGGAAGTTTCCTGATACTCTGGGTAATCAGATTTTAGAGGTCAAATGAGGAGTAATTATTTGATGTTCTCTTAAAGTGAACAATGTACCTGGCCTCGGGGGAGATAAGCGAAATACGGAAATTCTGATTATCTGATTTGGTTTCTAGAGAAAGAGTGGCTTGGATGATAAACCCAAGAACATCTGTGCATTTGAAAATCGAGGATGGACTATTTGGGGATTTTATTTAAAACTTATGGTATGGGATAATTGTCTAATAGTGAGCCTATGACAAAGTCGCTGACTGTGACAGGGCTACCTTCTGACATGGAGATCATCCTTTTGACATTGGATTTTCAGACATTGATGCCTTAGCCACATAGCTCCAACGCTGAAAATCATTGCTGATATAATTTTAAAATCCAAATGGACATCCCACATTAACAGCTCTCCATTCCTGGGCTCTGACTGCATACTTAAGCACTTGGCCTAAGTAACATCATCTCTGCCTGTCATAGAACTGTAAATTACACTGTGCTTATGTGGTCTATTATTTTATGGAATTCAGCTGACGCACAACTCTTAAGGCTACCAGCCCTGAGCGCTTTGAAAACTTGCGGGAAATTTTCCAAGAGCTGTCTGAGCAAAAGTGGGAAAAAGTCAAGGGTAGGACAGAAGCTGGAGTAGCTTATGTACCGATGATGGATTGAAGGAAATCCATTCATGACTTTTATTGTCAATAGAAATCATGATTTTCTGGGACTCACTGATGACTTGGAAAATAAAGAAGGATTTGATACAGTACATACTCTTAGTTATTTTCTTCTAGAAAATGCAAAGACATTTAGAATTTTTATATATCTTCGTCTGCTGTTTCATGAGTGCAGGTCAAGTAATGATGTTCCAAGTCTTATTTGGAATTAGCTTAGCCGCATGTCATTGAGGAGCACGACATGTTTACTTGAAAACTCTTATGGAATTATGGTCGTTGTTAATGCTGATTCATAATTGGCAGATGGGGTCAGTTTCAGGCCTCCTTTTTGCTCGGAGAAAATTTTCCATTGCTACTGGAAACAAATAAATAAATCATAGAACATTCCTCCTTCCTCCCCATCCCCCATTGTTTTAAACTAATGGCATACTTGGCTACTGTAAGGACTAAAGTGTCCCATAACACTGCATTTCATCTTGGTTTCAGGCACCTGCACACCTGAACACTTTTTATGAGGGCCTTTGGTACAAAGCATCTCTAGGGGAAAACCTGCAGAAATGGTTGCATTCCAAGAACAATGTTCTGGTACCAGGGATGGGATTTGGTCTGTAAGCCACATTGCTTCTCCTTTTATGTGATGATCTTGCCTTTACACTGCCTTCTACAGGCCTGAACAGCCAGGTGCTGTCTCAGCCAGAAAGACAAAGCAAACTGTGGGGTCCATCCATCTGCAGTTTTGCCTCTGTCCCCAATTTGCAGAAAACCTTGTCATGAATTAGAATTTCTTGGCAACAGCACCACCCAGGGAAATTTGTAGACACAAAGGAGCCTTGCTAGCCTCATTGAAAGGATAAAATAGCTGCCTTTTTTTTTTTTTTTTTGTATGTGATTTGTGTGTTCTTCAGTTACTGTAAATCTATTTTTTTTAGTTGAAACAGTGGCTTAGTAGATGAAAAAAAATCAGAACTTCCCCAATTATCCGGATATTTCTTTATAAGGATGCAATCACTAAATAAATGTAGCTTTAAAAATGAAAGCACATGTGAATGCAAGCACACACTTGGCCTTTCTTTAATAGATTAATTTCCATGTTGTTTTAATAGACACATCATCGTGTAGATTTGGGGGCTCTCAAATGTTCAGTCTACCTGTTTGTAGTTTGGTATTTTAAAGTAAGTGAACATTGTAATGCAGTTTTTTTTACTACATCTGTCCTTAGTAGGGGGAAAAGGAAGTCACCATTCTTTGTTCATCATGAACCTCCCACTCTTACTCTTTACCCTGAGGAGAATGGGCTGTTGGGGTCCTATCCATTTAAAAAGCAGAGCAGAAGATGCAAGATGACAGCCTTGCCCTGAAATGGTTTGTGTATGAGTATATCAGAGACCTTAAGTCTCCAAATGCAGGCTCTTCCTCTCTCCCAGCCCATTCTAAATATAAATGCCAGAGGGGGCTAATTTGCCTCCCCACTTAAATGAGGATAGTTTAGAGAGGCTCTTAATGGGGCTTTTACTGGCCCTTGTCTTATGAATCTTCAGATTTTTCTCCCTTCAGAGAATTCTTGTATTTTAACTTTTTGAGTACAGCAAGGCATTGCAATCTTTTTAAATCATTCTTTGTGCCTACTGGGGAAAGAAGAACCCAGTTTACTCTGGACAGTCCCTACTGGCTCATGTCGATAGAATAGTTGCTCTGATACCAGACTGGGTGGTAGATCCCCCCTGTCTTTGCAGTTTATAGTAGTATGCAATGGGTTTTTAATCACCTTTGCTGG